TGTTTAAGAAAGAAAATCTATTTTGATACATTTTTATTTATTTTAAAATGTTGCAACAGTCTCTAGACATCACGCTGCATATCTGATCCACTCAAAGGGACTGTAGGGGTCCAAGTAAAGAGAGCAGCCTGTTCTAAAGAAATGTTTTTCAGTCATTGTGCAATGTTTAGGTACTGACTCAGGAAGTACTTGATATCGGTACTCGTATCGGTACTCGGTATTGGTACTCGGTAGAGCTGGGCAATATTTCGATATTTTTTAAATATTGAGATAATTTAATTTGTGATATAAGATGAGACTATATCAATATAAACAATATAGTGTTATACTTGAGAAGAAACGGTTTCTGAGCCTGGTGGTTCTTGCTCTGAATGCTTGTCAGCCGCCTGCTTGAGGGGAGGGGCTGGAACAGACTGTGTGCAGGATGAGTGGAGTCCTTCATGATGCGGAGCGCCTTTCCCCTGTATTGTGAAGTGTAGAGGTCCAAGGTGGTGGGAAGGCTGCTCCCCTGTCTTCTGTGCAGCCTTAACCACTCTCTGCAGAGATTATCTGCAGTATTATTCAATATATGTAAATAAATGTCTAAAAAAACAAACTAATATATGTAAATATTAATTTTTTTAGATATTTATTTTGTACAGTTACAGCTGTTGTTAATAAACATGACTGTGTAACAAATGGGACAAAGCTTTAACTCAGAAATATATTTTTATTACTTTATGGAAAGAAAGAAAAATCGAGATATATATCATATCGAGATTTATCTTAAAATATCGCGATATTCATTTTGGTCCATATCGACCAGCTCTTGTACTTGGTATCGATACGCGGTATCGGTGAGTACACAAACTAAAGTACTCGTACTCGGTTTGATAAAAACTGGTATCAGGACACCTCTACACAAAACAGTCTTTTAATCCATCAGAGCTGCTGAGCGTCAGAAAAATATCAATATATTGATCTGAAGTCTCCTGAAGAAAAAACATCTAAACTCTTCTTGAAACACAAACAACATAAACACAAACAACATAAACACAAACAACATAAACACAAACAACATAAACACAAACAACATAAACACAAACAACACACACAACTTCAAAAACGATCTTACAAACTACAGTCAGAGAATAAAAATGCACGTCTACACGTGTACAGAATGTGCACCAATCAATGATGAGACCCTAGCTCCTACAACATTTAAAGATGCAGCTCATCCTATAAGTTTAAACCGGTTCTGGACCGGTTCTGGACCGGTTCCGTTTCAATCCAGAGCTCTGACCACGTTGGAGCCGTGTGGCCTCCCCCCGTGGTGCTGCAGCGCCCCCACACCCCTGGTTAGTGCTTGAAGAACATCTAGCTTATTATCCATCGGGGGAGCGCTCGGGGCCTTCAACATCTTCAGAGAAGGCCCAAGAATTCTGCACGTTAGTTTTAATATTTATTTTATATCAAATAAATATTTTCAATGTAGTTCTTTTTGTTTTTTTGTGCTAAATTCTCTTATTTTCTGTAAACTTATTTAAAGTTGAGCAAATGTCTTTAACTTCTGAAAATCCGTTATCCAATCAGATCGTTTTAAATTTGTGTCTCCGGGCAGAACCTGCAGGAGCTCTGATTGGTCAGGACTTCTCTGTCAGCAGCGAAGGCCGAGCTCATCAGAGGCTCTGCAGGACGAGTTGTCTTGATACCCGACAGGGATTTTAACCAACAAGAATGCTGATGTAGAGTGGGCGGGGTCAACACGCAGGGCTCCGAGCCTTCGGGAAGGCCCTGAACACACACACCATCGATTATACACAATAATCGTAAATCACAGCAGGAACCAGAAACACATCCTGCACAGCCGTGAGACAACTGGGCCGTTGTGTCAGAACGCTGATCCAACAGAACCAGAACGTGTCAGCCTTCATGGAGGACCGGCGGTTCAGCCCAGACCTGACTGCCTGAAACAGAGAACCTCCAAACGATGGGAACGCCACGAGTCCAGTCCAGATGGTTCAGAGTTCTGCTGCTGCTGGGAAGCTTTCAGCAGGAAGCTGAGATTTATGAACAATATGTTTGTACCTGAACTGCTCAGAGGGAGGCGACCTGCGACAGAGTCCTTCACACGTCTGAGCGAGTTCAGACAGGAGGGACTGAAAGAACCAGTTCACACAGACCCTCCTCCACAACCACAACCAGAACCTCAGCCCGTTTCACACGTTCACATACAAGCTGCCGTGGTAGCTGAGAGTCATCTCCAACACTGACTCTGAGCACCAACTGGAGTCAGCTCTGTCTGTTAGCAAAATATCTCAGGACCCTCTGGATGGCCTTTAATGAACCACTGAGCTCCATCAGTCAGTTTCAGGCTTGTTGATCTGGGGCGGGCCCTCCCAGAACCAACAGAACCAATGGGTGAGAAAACCAGAAGGGTGACTTCCATCAGTCACACGCACGCGCACGCACGCACGCATACGCACGCACACGCACGCAGAACGAGCGACCTGCATTAAGAGAAACGTTTCCTGGAAGTAGAGAAACTCTTCTCAGATTTGAGTCTAAAGAAAAGTCGAGACTCAAAAACCAGATTTGACTCGTCAGGAAGTTCTGCAGATTAAAGATGAACAATCAGCGGGTTCAACGGGACTAACCTGTAGAAATAAA